TCCCTAAACTTTGAACCTGTTTTCAACACAACATAATGTCATATTTTCCTTATTTTGTTTTGTCTTTTATAATTTTTCTTACCTGCTGAAACGTAGCTTGAACTAAGTTGGCTGGAAACATGTTGCTGGAAAAGAGAGTTTGAGAAACCAAGTTAAAAAAATCCTTTTCATTTATCACAAACACACATTTAATGACAAATATTCATCTTTATCTCACACATGATAGAAACAGTTTGTGTCCAGACCACCAATGTTTCACTTATTCAATCAATATCCATGATTAAGTGTGTTATTTCTTTAAAGGTATTATACTCATTTAATATCACCTGTGATTCAGTCAAAATCACATTAAGATGATGGCTTTTATTTGTTTGTTTACCAGTTTAGTCCCTGTGAAAGTAGTCTGTCTTTAATGATGTTCGATAAGGATTTTCTCTGCATACTGGCAGAAAACCTTTGTCATTATTTATTTCTGCACTGAAAGCTTACCAGATATAATGTACTTAAAGAGGACACCAACAAACCCCTTCATAWCTCTGTTAATGTCACACAGAGGCTTCTGCCTGCAGGGCAGCAGTTATTATTCTCTCAAACTCTAACAGTGTGACTACGGACATGCTTTTGTTTTAGAAACAAAAGAAAACATGAAGTATCTGAAGACCCCAGGAAGTAACAGGTGAGAGGATGTGTCTTTTAGACCATGTCCAGAACGTGGCCGCCATCTTGAAATCCACCTTAATGGATCAAAGTCAAGTGTTTTTCATGAGTAGATGGTCATGTAGCACAGAGTTTTTCAAAGAGGGGGCCGTGGGCCTCAGAAAGCTGGAGGGAAGTTGTGGAAAAAAGGCAAAAGTAAACAAACAAATATAATAAATATTTTGATCATTACTTCATTTTAATTTGTTGAATGTAATATAGTGAGAAGAAACATTTTTAAAGTTGATGTTTGTGGGTTTGTAAGGGGGTCCTCGGCCAGAAGCTAGGGCCATTTGGGGGGGCCATGGCCTTGAAAAGTGTGGGAACCAGAAATGTCTCAGAAAATGATTCTTGCAATCAGATATGCAACATCTCTTGTGGTTCAAAAAATTATTAACACAGAAAACTCAAAACTTTTGTTGTTGGTCACAGTGTTGTGTTCAGCACCAGGGACAGAACACTGAACACATCTAATACCAGGCATCGTTTGTTGCAACTTTCTGTGTTGGTCCTAAAAAATAGGACCCCTCTCCCCCTCACCCTTTACTTCCTGGGATATTCAGATATTTCATTTTCTCTTTTGTTTCTAAAATAAATGGGTGTCCTGCGACTTTCGACTCACCTTTCTATATATGTATATATTCACTGTATTATACCATTTCTGCCATAATATTTATGTAATGTAGAACTGACAGCAGTAAAAAGCTTTAGAGAAGAAGCGTTTGCATATATTGTGAAATTTTAGGCATCAAATCACTTTGATCTTAGCTGAGTTTTTCAGTCCTGTTCAAATAAAACTCTGCTTTTACTAAACTGAGTCATGAACAGGTAAAGATGACAAATGTTATATTTAAGCTGAAGCTTTATGAACGGTACAGTAAGTCAGATATATATCATGTTCTGAATCACACAATGTTCAACAATCAGGACTGTACATCTCACATCTAGAGAACACATGACGCTGTTTTCCACGACTCGAGATGAAGAAATATGGCATTTTGTAGCGTTCGGTATTTAAAGACCAGCGTCAATCAACAAGACGAGCTTTGCATTAAGGCCGGCTGTAAATCCCACACCGACGCAGAGCGCAAAATCCCAATCAGAAAGCAAAGAGGTTAAAAGACAGACTGTGTTTTACAGGCAGCGCAGTGAGGCACGGCGTTATTAAAAACACAAAACAAAGATGTACAGAGACTGTAAAGAATGACCACAGAGGGGATTCAATCAATTATTCTCTGTTTCAAATGAAGCAAAGCTCAGTATTAAACCAGGCTGTTGCTGCATTGATATGTACCATGTACAGGGACCATGTACTGGGACCATGTACTGGGACCACATACTGGGACCATGTACTGGGACCATGTACTGGGACCATGTACTGGTGTTTAAACGCACATGCTCAGCAACACAAACACACGATGGTGAGAGGACTGACATGTCAGGCTCAGGCCAGCATGATGGACGAAGGCTGTAAAGAAGCTTTGCAGGATAAATCCAAGGCACAGCTGTGCTCTGTACACACACACACACACACACACACAC